TCGATTAAGAACTCATTGTCATTCACAACGACGATCTGGCCAAGAGGCAGCAGCAACAGACCCATAGTTAACGTTACATCAAAGAAAACAGATAAGATGAAAACATACAAGACAAAAATAAAATAAAACTGTTAGACATAAAGACAAATGACTGTTCTCATATATAATATGTACAAGCAATCAAAACAGACTTAAGTACTCGGTAGGCACATTGATCAGAAACTGTTGATTGCAATGAATTTTTGAAGGTAGATAAAGGAATGTAGGTAGAGAGCTTCTGTGATTTTTGCAGCTCGTCCTTCTAGTGTTGTCAAAAACATCGATACCTAGATATAAATCGATACTAAAAGTGGTATCTGAATTAGATATTCCATCCCTGTGGTATCGATATTATGGACTATTATACACAGCCTTCTTCAAGTACACCGGCACGCACGACAGCCAGATGCCGTAAAGCAGCCTCCGCCTCCCAGACAAGCAGAAGAAGAAGACGCCGCATGGCTACATTGCAATTTCCCACACGAGTTGTCTCCGGTCCAAGTTTTGTCTGCCAAATATAAAAACAAAAACAGAAAATTTGGGAGGCGCTTCACAGCCCAACTTAATTAGCATACCAAGTCCGACACGTAGTTGTATATTCACGCTTATGTGCTTAAAGGAAACTCCCGTTTATTGCAACCCGGACTTAATTTCTAGCATGCAGTACGTTTGTTTACTCACGCTGACAACTTTGGTGCTACTTGGATTCCCCGGGGTATTTACCGTAGATCCATCGCCGAATCGCCGTCAGCATATATCCATATAACGGGTGCGGACGGGCACCCATGGTGCAGCCTAGGGCTGTCGCGGTAACCGCAAAAATGAAATATCGCTTTATGAAGAAGCCCACCGCGCTGCATCATGCGCCACCGCGATTACTGAACTTGGTTCAACTCAATGATGCATGTTGAGAAGCATGGCTGCACTGGTATCAAAACGAAACGTTACTTCGCTCCTGTGGGAGCGCTTTGGTTTTCAGTACGTCAGCTGCTGCGCAGCCAGAGTCCTTGGCCGAGACAGAGCTGCCACCAGCGGCAAATAAATAAATAAATAAACGCTCGGAGACCTGCTGAAGTCCCGGACAAGCACTGCTTCTGCAGCCGTCCCAAAGAGAGTTTGAGCCGAGCTGGAGCTCACTCGCTACCTGCAGGAGGAATGCATCCACCCTAAAGAAAACCCCCGTGACATGGTGGAGCAACAAACGGGAGATTCCCTTTGCTCGCCAGTCGCACGCAGGTACGTGTGTGTTAGTGCAACGAGCGCACCATCCGAGAGGCTTTTCAGTGTTGCTGCAAATGTTGCCGCCCCTCTCAGATCCTCTCTCAAACCGTAGTTAACATGCTGGTTTTCCTTGTAGGTAACAAGGACGTGACCGAGCTATAAATCACCGTCATTCGTGTGTGTGAAAGTGAAATGATAGTGCGCCCGCCCCCCGGCGCGCGCGCGCGCGCCCGGTACATGTAATTTTTTATGCTTGATTTTAAACAACTAAACAAAATGGGGACTTGTTTCTTATTTGTTAGATGCTGCAGCCAAATTTGCATTTAAAAGTTTAACCTCCTGAATTTTGTTGTTTTTAAGTTCAGTCGGACTCCGACTGTCGGAGAAACAAGCGTTACTGCGATCTGCGTTGTTACTGCCCTTTGATCTGCATTCAGTAAAGTGTTATTAAAGAAGGCACGGCAATTTTTAACCTTTTTTAAATGTGTAAACATTATGTTTAGATAGTACTGCAATAAAAAAGTGCTGCAATAATATCGCACACCGCAATATTAAGCCACCCTGAATCACCGCAGGGGGAATTCCTCAACCGCGACAGCCCTAGTGCAGCCTCGAAATAAGAAATTATCTGCACCAAAACACATCTTCATGTCGAAAGGATTTGTTAGGAATCATTAACGTGATTCCCCTGTTCGTTTGAAGCGGGTCTGGGATTTCTAGGCGTAAACAGACTAGCTGCGGCTAATTAACCAGCGCTTTTAATGACGTCACTGCCGTGCGCCAATCTGCTTTTATTAAGATTACCGGTAGATGTACCTTTGTCCTACTGTGGAGAAATTCATTTTCTCCCTTTATTGACCAACAGCTCAGTGGCCTAGTGGTAGAGTGTCCGCCCTGAGACTGGGAGATCAGGGTTCGATTCCTGGTCGGGTCATACCAAAGACTTTGAAAAAGTGGGACCCAATGCCTCCCTGCTTGACACTCAGCATTAAGGGGTTGGATTGGGGGGTTAAACCACCAAATGGTTCCCGAGCGCGGCTGTGTCTGCAGCTCACCGCTCCCCCAGGGATGGGTCAAATGCGGAGAACAAATTTCGCACACACATCAGTGTGTGTGACAACTAATGGGACTTTAACTTTAACAGAGTTGTTCAAAAGTACAGAACAAAACATATGGCATTACAGCTTATGACAAAAATGCACCTTAAACAGAGTTTAAGCAGCAAAACATCACTCTGCAAATAGTGTGTATATAGTGAAACAATTCATGATTTAAAGTGTTAACTTTCGCCAGTTTTTGTATGCACGTTTAAAAAAATGCTGATACTTGAAAGGTTTAAGCACTTAATACACTTAATTCTTAACATTTAATTTTTGCAATATAAATTGAGGAATGTTATTTTTGAATAAACTTGTTCAATAAATTGGTGTTTTTAATTAGTATCGAAGTCGAGTATCGAGTTTTTTGTTTTTCAAGTATCGAATCGAGTTTGAAATTTTAGTATCGTGACAACCCCTAGTCCTGTCTTTGGAAGCAGCAAACTGGAATGAGAAGCAGTCAAAGGATGGTACAAAAACTAATCTAAATCTAGGTTCAAAACATTAAAATAGTGGAATGCTCAGGTTAGATTAGATCTATGCTAGGATAGAGAGGGATGGACCAACTAAACTAGCCACCTGTGTGGATTTAGGTTAGCATCAGCAGTCCATTTGATGGGCACATCCATTATTGGTGGGCAGTTTCTTTCCATCATTACTACTTTGTGCTTTTGGTATTTTGCACATTGATATCAACACTTATACATATTGAATAAATTGTGCATCCCTGCTGTAGTCTACGAATACAGCCCCCCCAGAGGGATGTGACACATTCCCAAAACAAGAGCGCCAGAGCCCTTTTCCCACAGAGATCAACTCAAAAGTGATTCATTTATACTAGAACCCACTGCACATGTGTTGGAAAACAAGTGAACTTGATCTTAACTGTGTGGAATATGTTGCCGACCTCGGTTAGACAGGCATCATCTGTTGCCATTTTTAGAAAGCTACTGAAAACGTACTTCTACTCGACAGCTTTTACTATTCCTTGTTGACTTGGTAGTCCTGTTTTTTTTATCATTTCTTATGTCTGATTTTTTATGTTTTATTGTATTTTTACTTGACTGCTTATATTTTTTAATGTTTTATATGTCTGTGTTCAGCACTTTGGGCAACATTGTTGCATTTAAATGTGCTTTACAAATAAATGTGATTTGATTTAGATTTGATTTGATTTAATTGTAAAATGCAAAAAGACTTAATGCACTTTAGATTTTGTTGATGTGTTTTATCAGATTACTGTTGTGTTTTCTGTACTATTTTATTTTTAAACATTGAATTTTTTATATTTTTCAGTTTGGTTTTTTTATTTATATTTCACGATTGTTTGTATTTCATTTAATTGTATATTCTTGGAAAGCATCTGCTTCATAAATGCTGTAAAGTTTGTTTTTATTATTATTACTTAGTTTGATTAACTTTGGTTAAATGTTTGATTTTAAAACTGCATAGTGCAAAAAATTTAGATTTAAGATTTAGTTTAGAAAGTCAGAAATGTTGTGATCCCGCTGTTGTTTGTGACATTTTAGCACGCAGATAAGGTGGAAAACATCTAGATGCAGTATATAGTCTGGCCACAGTCCATTGACAGCTTTCAGTCATGGAGCGGTATCTACGGTTTTCTTTCAAACTCTCTCCACATGCTATTGGATAACAAACCACGTGGCATAATCATCACCGGGAATGTCCGCCAACGAGGCAGTCTGCCATACTTCGTCATAGAAGATACAAATGCATATTTTTTTCAAAATAAATGTATCTATCTGCTCTTGACTCAAAGCCCATGTCAAAATATCAGTAGGAGTAACATCCTGCCCACCAACGGAGTGCTGTGAGTGGCCCACCAAACCAATAGATCGCTGTGATTGGACAGATTCATGGCCATCTTGATTTTGCACATTTGCGCATTTGTAATCCTGAATGTTTTTTTCACACAAAACCTAAAATAACTTCCCCTCCGTTCGAAAATAAGCACGTTCTTGGCATCAAAATGTGTCTTTAAAATTCACAGATATCCTATGACGTTCTAGATTAAAATTATCCAGCTCTTCTTAATTGAATTAAAAGGTGAACTTGTTAATGTACCTGCGGGTCAGATCAGTTCACAAACACCCTTCTGCAGCCACTCGTGGATTTCTTCTAATAAATATGTATTTGTTAAAGTTACTCAGTGTTTATTTCTTTTTTAAACATACACAGGCCAAAAGTTTGGACACACCTGTCTTGTTCAATGTGTTGTCTTTATTTTCATGGTAGATTCTCACTGAAGGCATCTAAACTGTGAATGAACACATGTGGAGTTATGTACTTAACCAAAAAAGCTGAAATAACTGAAAACATGTATTATATTCTGTTTTCTTTTAAATAGCCACCCTTGGCTCTGATTGCTGCTTTACACACTCTTGGCATTATCTTGACGAGTCACCTGAAATGGTTTTGAAGGAGTCCCCAGAGGTGTTTAGCACTTGTTGGCCCCTTTGTAAATGGTCATGGTCATGAAAATAAAGAAAACACATTGAATGAGAAGGTGTGTCCAAACTGTTGGCCTGTACTGTATAAGTGTGTGTTCTACTGAATGTGTACATCACACAAGCAGCCTGTGCTTCTCTGCTCTGATCATTTGTGAACGTCCTGTTCCTGCAGGGCACGCGTGTGCTGGTGGACGCCCGGGACAAACTGGGCATCAGCTGGGAGAGCTGTGAAAACGAGAAGCAGGGCATGCTGGTGATGTCGTGGGAGGGACGCGTGGGCACCTCGGGGGTCAAGCCGAGCGAGTTCCACCTGTACGTGACGGCGCTGAGGGCACTCTGGACAGACGCAGGCATACAGGAGGCCTACACGCGGCGCTCAGAGTTCCAGCTGGTGAGTCGTTTAGATCCCTGTTTCCTTTTCTGTTGTCTTTGATGCACCACCTGTTAGTGTCTTGATGTGTTTTTTTAAGTGATATTAATCCAAGGCTCATTAAATTTGGATGATGTGAAAGTGCATGTTGCTGCATTATAGTTTATTTATTTTTTATCGTTTAGGTATCATAGATCAGTTTGAATTTATTCTGCCACTTCAAGCAACTTAGTTTTACTTTTCCACAAACATAATTTTGGAGAACGAGCTGTTAGGGAAGTCTTTCACCTCACAACAAAGGATATTCTGCACGCTTCTACTACTTTTCCACAAAGACCACGAGGATGATGTAAATAAGGTTATTTGTTGTGCAACGTTTCCTCGTGCCCCGTGGCAACAGGAGATGCACCGCATGGGGTTCGAGTTCTCTTAGCTGAGAATCAATAGATAAAAGAATCTGGAGGGAGTAAGTGAATGAGTCCAGCAGTGCTAAGGTCTGCATGACGGTTCGGGTATAATTTTTCTCAGAAAACATCATAGAGAGCCAAGTTACAATAGAAAGTAGCATCAAAGCTTCTTGTTAGTCTCAAACTCCTGATGCAGCAGCTTATTTGCTTTTACCAAACTGACGTCAAGAACAAGCGGTGCAGAAATTCCTGCTGCTGCTCGTCCTTACTACACCAGCATCTTGGCACAAAACTGCTCTTAAGCACGATGCGGACATATGTCGTTTCTAACATACATCACAAACTGTTTCTGCACAAAAGGACGTAAAACTGCAGTGAAAGAAAGCAGAAATCACTGCAAAATTCTGGTTTAATGTAAACCAAGCAATATTAGCTGTATTAGTATTTTAAGTTAAACAAATTTAAATCTGTGTTTTGATGTGATTGGACATCTTTAATATTTGGGATGTTTTGTTCCTTACTGGGAAATAAAAGCATTTATGTCACACTGATATGCTAACTAGTTTTATTATGATGAACAGCCAATCAGAGTCATCTCTTTAGCTGACAAACCCGATGGTGATTCAGCTTGTTGAATCAGCTCATGAAAACACTAATGTGGTCTGAAAAAGTCAGCGGGGCAAAAGAGCCAGACACACATCGGCCCTCCAGACATTTCAGATGGCTGACTATTGTCCATCTTGATGGGGGCGACCAATGCTTATGGCCTTATACCATAATATCCATTAGAACAATGGCTTTCATCCAGTCTAGTATTTGGCACAACTTAGCAGTTAGAAACACAGTTCAGGTGTGGTGTTTCCTTCTGGGTGATGTCTGCAATATATGAATCAGTGTTTCCCCTACATAGGCGTAGCCGTGGCGGCCCGCCACAGCTGAAATCCCAGCGCCACGCCTACAAGATCCCGTTTTATAGATTTTTTTTTTTTGCGCTGTTTCCCGAAGAAGCAGCGGGAACTACTGTCTTGTTGCTTGTGATCACAGCCGGCAGGCAGCAAGGAGGAGGAGGCAAGGCAGGGTGGTTACAGCTAGGGATGAGCTGAGGATGAGGGAGTGTCCGGTACGGATAAAGCATTTTTGACAAATACGAGCATGAAACGAGTAAAACTCGTAAATATCTGTAATCGTGCTGAAGAAAAATCCTCATTGGGTAAATGACTGCCTTCACGCTATGTGATTGGCCAGTCACATAGAGCGCCCGCCCCTCCCTACACACAAAGCTTTGCAGCCGGAAGCTCAGTCCGGTCCATGCATCCACGCACAC